CCCCAAAACCCCAAAACCCCAAAACCCCAACTTGCAAGAAACTATTAAATTTTGAATTTTCAAACCACCTAATATTTAAATCTAATTAATTCTAATTCAATTTTACTACTCTGCTAAAACAGGAAGTCTAATTGTGTCTCCAAATGATAGCGGGTTCATGGAATTCAATCGACTAAAATAAGTTAGGCAATAGTAATCTTACTCTTGCATTATATTGTGAGGATTCCCCATTTGCTTAATTCTTTGTCGGTTACTCTATTCTTGCACATCATATATCTTACCTAGTTATGAATCTCGATCACTCTCATTTTCAAAATCTTCACATACAATCATCTATTCCTAATTTATCTTGCCTTTCTAACCTTGTACTGCCTTAAAAGATTTTTTATTCTGATATTTTTTGTTCACAATTCTATTTAAGTGAAAATCTAGAAGCTATTGGTTTGCAGATAGTAATTCAAATCTTGCACTAGCATTGATCAATTGTAATTTGTCTAATTTTCCTAAATCTTCATCGTGGTTCTTCTCATTGATAATAGTCTCGCATATGTAGTCTTAATCTGGAGTTATTGATGCCATCGCTACTTTTTTATTGTTCAGACTATGCAATAGTTTACTGGGCCTATTTTCAATAGAAAGTTTTCTTTAAGATTGCTCAAATCTATTGTCATCGTAAGCTCTATCCTAGCTACTAGATTTGCTTATATCATTATCGTTCTTCTTACGAGATCCAGTCACTGTTTACTTTCTTTGATATCGACTTTTATCATTTTTATTCTAGAGTGTCTATTAAAGTTCACTCATATTAATATGACCCGACTTATTATGATCCTTAGTGAAGAGCTTTGAAAGTAATTCAGTATCATCGTAATCCATATTCTCATTTTCAAATAAAGATATATCAGCTCCTGAAGCAGAAGCAATGTTCTGTTTTCCATTACTCATCAAACTCAATATATTTGGCAATCTTGTTTCTATTACCCTGTTGTATTCCTGCTTAATAAGATCTCTACGATTGAAGACACTGTTATTTCTCTCAAGCGATTTTTCCTTCTTATGCTTGAGATTTGGAAGCTTTTTATCACTGCATAAGGCATTTTAAATTCCTTAATTAACACTTAAATCATTAATCTATCCCGCCATCTTATTACTTTTTGGAGACTGCTTTAACGAGTTATTTCTATGCAATTTCATATCATAACCTTAAGAAAATTATTGCTAATTCTGTTAAGGGTGTTTCAGTTTTAAATTCACCTGCTGGGGATTACTATTTTGATTCACACCATTGCTTGTAAGTATTGAGTATGATTTATCTTTTAGTTTCTATTGAGAAGTTTTCTAGTTTTTAACTGCAGCTTTGGCAGAAGCTAAATAAGGGTTCTTCTATAAAAATTGCAAATCTCTAGGATTAGGCTTGTCAAATGATATAGATTATCTTTTCTCTATGTTATTTCTAGAAAAATTCTTTAATAATCTTTATGCTGCACTCTATTATTAATTGGTTGCAGATTAAACTCCGGATCCAACCATAGCAGTTTAAGCTGACATGGAATCTCTCTGTTAAACTTATGATGATCCTTGATAATTTCAACTAGAGGATATCAAGGTTTGTTATTACTATTGATTCGAAGAGCTAATCAAAATTCTATTATTTGAGTTGAAATTAATAAGTCTATTTGTAGGTGAAATGTTTTAACCAATGCTCTTTAAATTTAATTGTTATTAATTTGCGAGGTAGTTGCTTTATTAATTCTAAGGGTTCGATTATGTTTAGGAAATAATTTGTGGCTAACTAAGCATCAATTATTACTGCTAGTTGTTATTATTATTGTTCATAAAATTAGGCTGCGTAAGATCACTATTACTGTTAGTATCTCAATTAATGAGTGCTACACCAGGTAGCTTCAACTCTAATAAAGGTTTTAATAAATAATTGAAATTTGAGTAATTATAAATGACTAAAAAATCAAATGAACTTACTTGAATTTGATTCCAGTTACTTTCTAGTATTCAATTTCTAACCTATATTTTGGTTTGTCACTATGCTGTTATTAGCTTGATTTGATTAGTAATTGGCATTCGACTTGGGCTTAGGCAAGGAACCTTTATAAATATCAACTGCAAGATTAACGCTTTTTAACTAGAATAATTTAATAATATATCAAAGGCTTACCCTCTATTATGCCTAAGCTGAATCGCTTGCATGCTATTTTTCATTGTTCCCTTAAGAAGAAGTAATTTGTCTTTTGGTTATCAACTACATTTAATTCATTTGCTGATTCAAGAATGATTGATTTATCTACTAGATGGATTGATTATGTACCTGAGCTGAAGAGCTGTCCTATTAGGTTGAGTTTACTGAAGAACTAACGAAAGGAAACTATTACTTCTATTACTGCTGCTGTTATGCTGACATTAATTCTTTTCTAATTTATATTCTTATATAAAAAGAGAATTATTCATAAAAATTCAAACTCTTTAAATTCTTACTCTTACTCCCCTTGGGGTTTTGGGGTTTTGGGGTTTTGGGG